TGTTGTGGTGCTGAGGATACCACTTAATGAGAATAATAGCAAGATAAATGCTGCATTCTTGTAAGTCATTGTTGCCTATCTGTTAACATTACCTGTGAATCAAAATAATGATTAGCCAGCTGATGGGGAATCAATATTATGATTATCTGTTTAAAGTGATTCAATTCCTTGATTGCCTTTCACTACCTATACTCTATAGAATTCAAATTGTTATGATAGGAGCAATATTATTTTGCTTAGGAGATACTTCCAGCATTTCTGTTCAAGATCAGGCATGCTCCTTCTTGAAACACTCTCTTATTTTTATGTGTTTGGTAAGTTAGAAATGGTCTGCATTGATGCCCAAATATGGTCATAAAGGAATCAATCTTTTGATGCCTCCATATTTTGATTCCAAAGGTCTAGTTTTTCCAACTGATATGACCTTTTTTGACCTGACATTGGCCTGACCTCCACCAGGAGACAGGAACTGACCTGAACCATTCCTGATGGCCTAATAACCAATACCATTGAGTTGGAAATGAAAAAAATTGGCCATAAAACATGGGCCCTGTTCGGTCGCTGTTTTTATATCAGCGTGCTGTCGGTTTTCCCCATATAAGGAATGGCAAAAGTCAATTATTCAAAATAATTTATATTAGGACCAAAACGCGTTTCGATAATATCGTCATCAGTTGGTCCTAAATAAATGACACAAAATACTGTATTTTTGACATACTGTATAAATGACAATAAATACAAGTATTTTGTGTCATTTATTTAGGACCAACTGATGACGATATTATCGAAACGCGTTTTGGTCCTAATATAAATTATTTTGAATAATTGACTTTTGCCATATATGTCACTATGAGCTTAAACCATATAAGGAAGTTATTGCTGGCGCGGCTTGGCCTCTCATTGGTCTGACGAATAGACCACTTGAATTTGACCAATGAGGAGCCAAGATGTAGCAGCATGGTCGCAGCCTGCTGATAAATAAACTGGGTGCGAACAGAGCTCTGGATTCGATTCGCATTTCTGATTCCCACAAGCATTGCAAGATCACGCAGCACAACACCTACCCCATCTTTCACCACTCAGCTTCTCTTGAATACCGTCCTGAGTGCAGGACCACAACACAAAGTACTATTGACAAAACCAGTCAATTAAATAAGTACCTAATCAACTTTTTAACAAAACACTATTATGATTACCACCGACAACCACACAATCCTCCGGAAACGTCTCAAAGCCCTCAAACTTCAAAGCTTTCCCACGCGTTAGACATTTGTCAAGGAATAAAGTAATAAAGCAACTAAAAAGCAAAATTAGTTTTGCTATGACGCCACTGATACGATTTAACTAGCTCGACGTCATTCTCTGGACGTCATTCGCCAAAAGTTGCCATTCGCTAGTAAACCCTAATCCCTTATTTCAAGTGAAAATTAGAACAATTTTTCATCTTATTCTGTTTTCATCCAATGAAGAGAAGGACAGCAAGCCGTGCAGTGTTCACCTAGGGTATATTGACTTACATGTGCACCTACATTACTGTATTTCGTTAGCAAAGCAAAATAAGATTTTATTACGTCACAGTCAGGATGAAAAATCTTCGCGGCGCATCAAATGGCAACTAACTGTTTTTGTTTGCCATTTCAGTCCCACGCACAAGGGGGAAAAGCTCAAATTATTGAGCGCTCAAAAAATTGAGCGGGCCCCATTATGAAGGAATAGGCGAAACGATGGTATTTTACAATGCCTCTAGCGTCACACTACGGCAAATATCGTATCCAAATAAGGTATCAATGGCAAGAGAGAGCAACAAGGTTTCTTCTCGAACACTCGCCGTGATGATTTATATCGGTGTTTTTGGAAAGAAAATGCCATAAAGACGCTCAACTTTTTGAGCGCCACTTGTCGTTCGGGACCGCGATGCTCAATAAATTGAGCGCCACGACAGACGACAGTCAGCTGGCGCTCAAAAAATTGAGTGCCGGCCAGCATCTACACTCAATTTATTGAGCCTTCTCCGTGACAGGTGAAGCCGGTACTGGCTGCCATTTTTGATGTTATGTTCGTTGAAATACGTTAAACTGAGTTGAAACAGAAATGCAGGAAGTTGAATGCTACGTGGTACCTAAACTTTTCACAAACCCATGGCATCATGTCACATTTTCCGCTAGTAGTTTTATCGGTCGCCTTTCGGATTCGGCACACCTCAAATAATTATACAGGGCTTGAATAATCCGTATGAATACTGTATTGATATTTTCTGACTGTACTGGGACTGGGAGAAGGGAATACGTGATTACAGAAAGATATCCACCCACGCTTGAATATTGGAGAATTATACAGGAAAAACTGTATTGCCACGGTTACAACTTACAAGGCCATCGGCCGCAAACAAACAAAAATACTATACAATGTGGGTTAGATTCACAAACATCATCAAGTGTGGAACACAGAGACGAGCAAAACAACATCACATTATCGCATGCCAGCCCGACCACATTGGAACCGGGTGACCTGCGACCGGAACCTGCGTCTTGCCAGCATACATCACAAAAGCAGGAGGCAGTGTCGTACTGCTTTGATCCAAAATATGCCATATAACAAATGATATAAACGACCTAAGCTCGGACTAAGCTTATCATTATCAAATCCTTAACATGTAAAAGACGAATGGAAACATCGAGTCTCAGACCAGCAGTAGCAACCATCACAGTAGCAACATCACAAAGAACACGCGGCATTATCAGACAGCCGTTTTGTTATCGGGCTACAGGCGGCGACGGCGTGGTTGCAGACCAGCTGCGAGTTAGCGGCGTGCGGGCAAAAGGCGCGGGCACACCTCCATGTGGCCGTGCGGACAGTGCGCGGTCGGCGTCGCATAGTGGGCGGCATCGGGCTGTCCCGGGGCCGTCGAAGCCGCACAGGTTGTCGGCGCATGTGGGCGCGCGCGGTCACCACGGCCAGCTGCTCACCACCAGCACAGACTGCGCAGCGTCGCCGCTCCGCCGGCCAGAACACGCAGACAACCCTTCTTGCAGTCGCACAACACGTCGCCAAACTCATTCACCTGCTCCACCATGTTGTTGATGTCACCGAGTCATTCAAGTTGTGGCTCGTGCCGTCGAGCATGACCTGCCCGATCGGACACGGGTCAGCGGCTTCTGCTCCAGCGAAGTCTTCATCTTGGTGACGTCTTGCTGATCTCCACAAAGGCTGAGCAGATGACCTTACCCACAGGGACGGCCGACGTCCTCGCCAGCGACCGCTTGGTTGTGTAGACCTGCCAGAAAAAGAAAAGCTGTTTGGTGATCTCAAACGATTTTTTTCTTCTTTATGCAGTGGAACAAAATGGAAAATATGTCATACAACAGGAACTAAAAAAAAGATGCAGCCTAGGTCGTCTAAGAAATGGGTGCAACATTGATAAAATTCTTCCTTGAATGAATTCTACAAATGCTTTTGATAAAATGTGTGGTGATTATAAGGAGACCACTTTACTATAAAATTGCTCAGGATTCCCTATCTGGACCTGTCAAAAAATCCTGACTGCACACCAACAATGAGCATTAAATCCGAAACCTCTACCAGGTACCTAGGGATAATTAAATTCTGATTCAGGAAAATATTTCACATCATACAAACAAAAACCTTTACGATATTGAAACTGAAAATGTGATGCCGATCCAGTGACCTAAGGGTCTCAAAGTATAATAATGAATTAATCTATTATAAATTTGGTGGTGACTACCAACTGGCGTCTGGCAGCCTAGACCTTGAGGCTTGAAAGTGGCCTTCCTTTTCCGTTGACTCCGATCCTCCAGATGGAAATGATATAAAGGATCATTTTTATCTTATTTCAAATGAGCCAGTCAGCAAAGTGGCTATCCTGTTTCAGCATTCACACACACAATAGTTGACTGTCAGTCTGTCATGCTGTCAGTGTTGTGAAGTAACGAAGGAGTTGAGTTTTGTTGATTATAAATTGTGATGTTATGTAAAGGACTGGAAAATGAATGTGGAAACTATGGAAACATATTGGCAGAGTACTGTCACTTACTATCAGGACATATGGATAGAGAATACATTCAAATTAATAAGAAATGCCAAATATCAAGGTACTCAATCACTGATAGCAGTGGACTATCATATGTTTTAACGTCAATTATATGAAAGTTAAGACTGAAACTACCTTTTACTTCATCATACCTAATGAAGAATTGTGTGAAGAAAACATTCACAGCCTCTTTGAAGCACTTAGACCACTAAAAAACAAAAATTTTCACGTAAATATGTTGTGTCTCTTTCCCTCAAAACATCATATCGGATGGCGCCACTTTCGTCGACAGTTACTTATCTGCACGCAAATCGAGGAAAACGTGAATTGATTGACGTTTACGTGTTTCCAAATTTAAAATCACAGCATATTCAAACTTTTCAGTGTACCTTTTAACATCTAAGTATAACTAAAACGATAAAAACTTACCTTCAACACAAGGACGACGACAACCACGCGACAGGAGACGTCGCGACGAAATAAACAAACGGCGCCGCCAAATGAAAAATATTCTCCGATATGGGTGATGTGAAATTGAGTCGCTATCATTTTGGGTAGTATGAAAAATGCTCTTTCCAACAGAACCCTAGTAAAAAACGTGAATGGACAAAAAATAACTTTTATTTCGACATAAATATTGGCCTGTTTTTAAGGCATCCTGGTATGCCGTAAGATTTCGACCTAGAAATTGGTGTTCCCCCAATCATTGAAGCTTGAGCAGTGAAAAATATGAAAGCCTAATCTGTTTTGCATCATAAGTGATTCTCCTAGGGTGTTGCCATTTCTCCCTAGGTGTTGCGAGTTGCTTTTGCAAAACGTGTTCCTGAAACGGCTCAATTTTTTGAGCCCTCAGCATTACGCCTATGGGAGCCTCTGACGTCACATGCTCAATATTTTGAGCGCTCAATAATTTGAGCTTTTCCCCCTTGTGCGTGGGACTGATTTCACACGTGTACAACGTGTACCTTCACACGTGTGTGCACGTGTATTTGTACACTTCACTTGACTTGTCAGTGCATCTTAGTACGACGACTCCCACTACCCTACGCCCAACCTACGCCAACAATCTACGCCACAGTGTATATAAAGCCAAGCTGAAGCAGCTGTGTGCCCTCAGCTCAGTGAGTGAATTATTGGCGCGCCCTAACTCAACAACAACAACATCAATGATCAACGTGTACCGTACGGGGACAGCTCGTGATTGCGGCCGTTGGAGGAATGTTCCATGAGGGCTTGTGTTTGAAAATCACAACACAAATTGTGGCATTTTTTATTAACGTCTAATTTTTGTTGCTTGTAAAGATTAGACTCTAAGCTATTATTTTTTAATTTGTATTTTCGCGAGTCGTGAGTCGCGAACTGGCGAACTAATCGACCACGATCCATCTGTCTACTTGTCTGTTTGTCCGCCACACCTTGTAGTGGGTTCAATTTGTCAAGCCTACAGGGCAGACGGTACGGCACAGGTCACAGGAGGTTGAAATTTGGGTATATGTCAAGTTTAGGTCCTAACTACAATTGTGACGCTGTTGATACGAATATGAAACAGCAAAAATTTTAGGTTTTAGGTTAGGTTAGGTTGTAGGTTTGTAGGTTTTAGGTTGTAGGTAGGTAGGTTTGTAGGTTAGGTTAGGTTAGGGTAGGTTTGTAGGTTGTAGGTTGGTAGGTTATAGGTAAGTAGGTAAGGTTAGGTCAGGTTTGATTATGTTTTTTCTTTTATTTGCGAGACATATGAGTATCATTTTTGGATTCAGGATGTCAAATAATGTAAAAATATGAAAAATTTATCAATGAAATCTTCTTAGGACTTAAACTTGACATTTACCGAAATTTGCACACCTTCTAGGTGACAGAGCGGGTCTGTGCCTTTTCTAGATTTCCACTCGCTGGGGTGCACGGTTCGCGTGTGGCGCGCTCTGGAAAAGCGCAAATGAAATTTTGCTCCATTTGTAGATCTTCATTGAGAGCTGGGGTCACTTTAAAAGACTTTAAAAGGCTAGAAACACTTTTAAAGGCTGACCATATGACGTTGGCTCGCGAAAAGCGCTGGCAGGGCGCTGCTATTGCTAATGCCCGTGAAACAGGGCCCAGTAGTGTTGCTGCAAGAATCCTGGTTGCAGCGAGCTTTGAGGGCACCTTTCTCGAACGACTGCCCTCGTGATTCTGAGTTGCATCAGGTTTTGTTGCCCTTCCTCGCCGGCCGAGGGGGGGGGGGGGCGGGTGCCGCCCTCCCATAGGGTTTTTACGCGATAGCTCCGAATACGCTGGCGATAGAGAGCTGAAACTTGGCATACCTGACCTTTGATTCAAGCGGGATCTTTTGACACCAACTGCATTGGTCAGGTCACTGACCTATGACGTCATAAGTGAACCTCTGCACGGTCTTTAGATGTCGCAACTTCGCAACGCCCTCACTGCCAGAGGAGATGTCACAGGGAAATGAAACTTGCGGGATCTAGTATCCATTACGAGTCTCACAATTTGTATATCTCGGATTTTTCCTAAAGCTAATATGAGGTCAGGTCATTTTTGTGACCTCACCATTATAAGTCAATGGGGAAAAATGAAAACTGCTATTCTGGCGCCGGGAACGATCTCCAACTATCTCAAGCACACATAATCGTAATTTGATGCACTCCTTGCAAGGTTAGATGCGTCACTTTTGCAATGTTGACCTTGCGTGACGTCATTTATGACGTCATCAAGGTCATATTAGTTTTTCGTCAATAACTCTTGATCAGATTGAGCTAGCGAGTCGGGAAAGCCACCAATGGACTCAGGAAGACCTGCCGAATCGAATGATATGCGACATGACCTCTTTCGACCAACTTAGTGACCTGGGGGTTCTGACCCGACCTTGACCTGAGGTCAACACCCGAACAAAAAGTATATCATTCGACGCGCCTGAGCAAGGCGAACACGATGCTGCCAAAATCGCGGCTCTGTGGCCGTTTTTGCGAAGTTATTCACCAAAAACTGAACCGTACCTTGGGGTACTTGACCTGACCTCAGAGGTCACCGGTTGACCTAGGACCTTAAAATCGGGTACCAATCTCTGCGTCTCGTAACGGCGCACACGCTCGTTTTTTTCGCGACGCGCTAGCTCCACCAGGGGCGAAACGGCGAGGGGGGTCGTACCCGCCCCCCCCCCTCAGCCGGCGCGTATGTAGAAAACCAATAGGTCCGGCGAGGGTTAAAGGCTCAAGGTCATTGGGCCATCAGGACAGTTAGACTTCTGACACTTATTTTATTGCATTGTTGATTTATTGCACTGCAAACAAACCAGGGACAGCATAGACTTTCTTAAAGGAAAAGGGCCACCTTTAACATGGGGATTGAAACTGAGATAGCCATCTTGTAGCCCGTGTCCGAAAACCTGGCTGTACATCTCCTTACGGCCGATTTCGGCCTCCATTCGTAGTTATCGGCAATTTTAAAAGAAAATACGCCAGGAATGCGTCCTTATCCCAGGAATGCGTTCTTATCCGACAATACAGCCACCCGCGGCGAGGCTTTGGTTTTTTACCAATCAGCTCCAACCAGCTCAGCTTTAAATAATCAGCTTATCTGGCACAATCCGACGAGTCTGTCTTCTGAACGCTGATTGGCTTGAGTGTGACGTCATCGCTATGCCATCATACAATAGGTGCCGTAGAGAGTATCAACATAGTACCAATATGTTAAATAGTTTTAAATAGTTTTTCGCGAATTGTGCACTTCTGGCACCATTTTTAAAAAGAAAATGAAAAATAATAATGTCAAAATGAAAAACAACGATATCTTCATATTTCACGAAGGTGGCCCTTTTCCTTTAATCAAATATCACCTTTTTGTTGTCTAAGCTACCCCCAACAGTATGTTGGCTTTTTCCTTGCTCAACATAAGAATGAAAAATGGAAGTAAGTGCTTATTTAACATTTAACCATTCACCATTTGGCCAACAGATAGATTCAAATCTCCTCTTTCGTTGTCTGATGAACATATAAGATATAGCACCAATATTTGAGAAACAAATTATAAAATTGCTTGATATATTTCTTGACCATTTTGTACCAAATTTATTTGGTAAAGTTTTCAGGACCTTTCTGCTATCTCTCTGTTTTTCCTATGTACTATTATTGACATCATATTAAAATGGCTGATATATTCAAACCTCAAGAGATGCTCCAACTCTTCAGGAAGAAGAAAATTCTCGTCATTGGTGACTCCAGTAAGTTGGTTGCTGAGTCTAGCCTAGGGCTAGAGCCCCTCATGTTTGACACTCTGACCTCTGTTTGACCTCTGTTTCACCCATGCATTTAGCATGTGTGACATACTCCATTAATGAGCAAAAGGTATTGGAGGTATGACAATTTTGTACCAAATTTATTTGGTAAAGTTTTTCAGGACCTTTTGGGTATCCTGCTGTTTAATTGATGTACTATAATTGACATCATATTAAAATGGCTGATATATTCACACCTCAAGAAATGCTCCGACTCTTCAGGAACAAGAAAATTCTCATCTTTGGTGGCTCCAGTAAGTTGGTTGCTGAGTTTAGCTTAGGGCTACAGCCCCTCAGGTTTGACCCTCTGACCTCTGTTTGACTGGACCTCTGTGTGACCGTGTATTTAGCACGTGTGGTATACTCCGTGGATCAGCAAAAGATGTTGGAGGTAGGTGGAGGCGTTTGTGGCTAACGTCGGTCAGCGGAGTCGTCGTCGCCGCAGTCAATGTTGTGGCATCAAGCTTCACTCGTTCGACAAGTGCTGCCATCTAACCAAAAGCTCCCTATCAGGCGTTAAATTCGCAATCGGACGCTAGAGGTCAGAACCTGAGTAATGCATGAATGTGCTCGTTCGGACTACGCAACCCTCTGATTGTTGCTGCTCCGCCTCTGCCTCAGACATTCGAGGACTCTACAAGGATCTCGTCTGGCTGACAGAATCGTGCTCCTACATACCACAGAGACACCTGAAGGGAAAGGTGGGCTCTTTTCCCGTGTGTGTATGTATAACACACGTGTGTGTTACGTACCCACGAAGCAGTTTTACTAGTGAAGTTACTAGCGAAGTTTTGATCGCGAGGTGCGAACTCCAGTAACTATTGTCATAATGATAACCTATTCAAACTTTTCGATCAATAGGTGTTGCCATGACAATATCTTGACCTTTCCCTTTTTCTCTCTCCGTCTCCTCCCTCTCTCTCTCTCTCTCTCTCTCTCTCTCTCTCTCTCTCTCTCTCTCTCTCTCTCTCTCTCTCTCTCTCTCTCTCTCTCTCTCTCTCTCTCTCTCTCTCTCTCTCTCTCTCTCTCTCTCCTCTCTCTCCCCCACAGCTGGAGAAGTCCTACCACGGTGATCGACTGGTCGAGGGTGAGAAGGCCTCGCGCGGCCGCGACTACCGAGAAGTGCGTCACTTTCACACCCCGGACCGCCTGGTGGAGCTGCACTTTGTGTTCTGCACGCGCATCTACTCGCCGTACATGGCGGAGGTACTCGATCGGTACCGCTGCGAACCGCCGGACCTGATCGTCGTCAACAGCTGTGTGTGGGACATCTCCAGGTGAGAGAAGAGTAAAGCGGGAGGAGATGGGGAAAGAGGGAGGGGCGCTGCTGCATGGGTGGTGTGAGGTTTGGTCAGTGGCTAATGGTTGTGGTTGATGTGGTGGTTAATTTACTGGAATGTTTGTGCTTGTGGACTGTGTGTAACGGCCTGGAGCGTGGCTGTGGTCGCTTAACTGCTTTGTTGGTGGTTTGGTGTGACTTGGATAGCTACCGTGAGTGCTGCTGTGCTTAGCAATGTGCCTTGATGTCGCTTGCTGTTGCGGAGCACGTATGGCATACTACCCAAACACCCAGTTACCCACCCTACATAGTTACGTTCCCACACCCAAAACATTGCTCAGTGCTCATGCCTCATACTCAGCCCCTGCATTCTCTACTAGCACCCTAAAACCACCCTCCATCGATGTGACACCCTTTCGGGCACGTCCGCGCCCCTCCACGCTGCACCCCGCTCCGGCTGCACCCGGCTGTGGCACCCTATCCGGCTCTGGCACCCCATCCGCACCCCGCACCCCGGGTAACGGATGGGCGCGGCGGCAGGTGGGGGCCGAGGGGCGTCGACGACTTTAAGGTCAACTTGCGCAAGTTTCTGGAGCACGTGCAGTCGACGATGCGGGCCGACACGATGCTTATGTGGACGACGACGATGCCGGTGTCATCGGAGCCCCGCGGAGGGTTTCTGATCAAACAGGTGACGGGAGCGCGCTGAGGTGGGTACGCTGGTCGGGGGCTCGCTGGGGTACGCACGTGACTGGGAACGCAGGAGGAGGAGACTGAGAGGCAGCTGGGCGTGATTGGTGATGGTAATCGTGAAAGCCATGATATCTTGAGACAAGTCAGGTGATAAATTTAAATGTTTTTTTTTCACCCATACCCGGTGTAGATGTATACTCAAACTCAAGATGCGTTTGAGATGGTCAGGCAAAGCAAGAAATCTGCAAATGTAAGCACTAAGAACGGTTTGTTTTATATATCTGCGTGAGCAATAGGTAATGAGCGTGAATGCGATTCTGCGCTCAACTATACTAACAAAGCGTATTCATGGTTGTGATACCTCACGTTACTACGAGTGATATCCGTTAATACATCCCGAAAAGTGTAGCCCGCTCGCCCTGACCCTCGTCCCTCCTCTGGCTTAGGTGGAGTTTCTGCGGCACACGCTGCGCTTTGACGTGATGGAGGCGAACAGCTTCAGCGCCAGTCTGGTGCGCCAGTTCGGCTACGACGTGCTGGACATCCACTACCACTTCCGCTGTCTGATCCACCAGTGAGACGCGACGGGGGCGGGGCTGGCCCTATAGGCAGGCAGACTTGGGTGCCTTGTGATGTGTGGGGCGGAGGGGAGAATAAAGAGTTGTCCATTAATTGCTATTAATGAACAATGCACATGTATTTTTGTTAAATGAAATGGCAACGATGATTATTGTGGTTCAGATATTCTGACCACGACATTGTTGGAACTTTATTGAATGGTTGACTGGTGAGAAGAGAACGGGAGACATAAGCAAGAATTAACCAATGACCATTAAAATCATTCACTCAATTTTGAATTCATTGTATGAACGGAATTAGCGAGAAACGATGTCATCACCACATTTAACTATCACCGAGCACAATTTTCACGCAGCGCACCTCACCCTGTGTTTCCGCCCTCCGTTTTCAGTCGCAGCCGAGACGGGATCCACTGGCAGCCGCAGGCCGTACGTGGGATCACCAACATGCTGCTCACTCACGTCGGTACGTAGCGAGATGGTCTGTTGGTGGGGGTGATGTTTGCAGCGATGGGATCAGGTTGACGTACTAATGACGTACTATGAACTACATGGTGCGTTTGTTCGCCAGTTCTATAAGGCTGTTGTGTCGATAGTTACTGCCGGAGGCACGTGCTTTGTTTTGCTCCTAAGTCCTAAGTCCTCAGACACACACATTAGAACTTCGTGATGTGTAGATTGTAGAACTCCGTACCTTATATTCTTTCATGTATTCTTTCAACTATATTGCCATCAGCTCATCTATTTCAACCTTTCAACTCCCTTCCCCCATGACACTGTACCACTCCTTACAATACCTCCTGGCTCCTACTGTCTCGCCCCTCGACACAACACCAACATAGCTGTGCTCACTGTCGACAGCTCTGGCCTGGAACCGCATCCTACCCGGCCGCGGACCGAGGCGCGCCCTCGAGCGTCTGAGCGAGGAGGCCCACCTGACCGACGAAGAAGTCAGGGAGCTGGTGGACTTCACAATCACGGAGAGAGAGGCGACCGCCGCACGAATGCTGCGCGGTGACCAGGCGCCCGGACGACGCTAGAGTGAGGGAGAGAGAGGGAGAAAGAGGAGGAAGATTGGTGAAAGAAGCGAGAAGGATGGAGGAGAGAGAGGTGATGAAAGTGTAGAGGAAGACATACAAGAGGGGAGGGGAGGCGTACAGACAGGCAGACATACAGACAGATAGACTGACAGACAAGCAAGTCTGCCAGGCAGACAGACAGACAGACAGACAGACAGACAGATGGACAGACAGATGGACAGACAGACTGACGGACAGACAGACAGACAGACAGACAGACAGACAGACAGACAGACAGACAGACAGACAGACAGACAGACAGACAGACAGACAGACAGACAGACAGACAGACAGACAGACAGACAGACAGACAGACAGACAGACAGACAGACAGACAGACAGACAGACAGACAGACAGACAGACAGACAGACAGACAGACAGACAGACAGACAGACAGACAGACAGACAGACAGACAGACAGACAGACAGACAGACAGACAGACAGACAGACAGACAGACAGACAGACAGACAGACAGACAGACAGACTGCCAAGAAGTCTGCCAGGCAGACAGACAGGCAGACAGACAGACAGACATCAAACACCGCGTCGGACGGAAAGAGCGGAGTCTGGCAGAGTCGGAGAGGGGACTGGATTGCGGGCAGGGGCCGAGGAACGGTGAACGCAGCTACATGTGACCGTGGACGGTATTTTGGAAAAGACGGGAGATGGTTGGCCGATATTGCTGCATTCGAAGCACCATCGAGACATACCGTGGAATGACAAGACTTGGCTCTCAGGAAATGATCTGGCCATTTCTACCTGCTCAGATGTTTGAGGATTCACGGAGGCAAGTGGTGAGGCGATTTCACCATCGTTTGTCTCGATATGCTGTGAGAAAGCCTTGGTGTGCGAAGGCGCAAACGTTCTGTGATCTGCAGTCGTGCCAATACTGTTTGTACATACATGTTAGCCAAGAAGTTTCCCATGAGGATTCACGTTTACTTTTGTATTGTGTTAGCCAAGAGTTCCTTTTTGCGGGTTGCGCTGTGTAGAGGCTGGTGTGTGTTTTCTACGCAGAGGGATTTGGCTTTGCATGCCAACAGGCCTAAGTTAATGCTGTTTATTCAGCTAATGTGCAAGCCCAGGAATCGAAGATCTCGGAGATCGGGTACTCCGCGTTAAACTGTGATCGATGTGCCTTTGTAATTGTAAACCTTAAACTAAGTTTGTGAAGTTGTGATGGACCGAAGTGCATTAGTAAAGTAATCTTGAGTGGCCTTGCATCAACGAGCTTTTCGACCCGATTTTGGAATTTTCGCGTGCCTCTTCCCTGTAACATATGAGCAATCATTTTCAATGAATTTGAGATCAGTTCGTGTTGTCCAAAATCAGCGATTATTTTTGTTGAAACGCCAGGTGAATCTCATAACGATTTCGTTTTAAATTGTGATCTGAATTAACGGCGACTAAGCATGTATCTGTCCGCAAATTAAATCCGGATTCTCAGACGCTTTAATTGCATGATACCTGCCTCTCACAGTTGTAAGGATCAACTGCGTTGATCTGGCCAAAGTTTGTGTCGATACTGTCTGGAAGTGATAGAAAACCCTGTTCCTGGCATTCATTGTCGCTCATTTGTCGCCCATTCAACGCCTTTTTGTCAGTTTCATTTACGGCCTATGATTTTCTGTATCGAGGTCTGTTGCTCTGCCGCTCGAAGTTGGGTCTCTTCCGACCGCAATTATATTGTGGCCTACGATTGCGTTCGCTGTGAACTGAAACTGGGTATGTGCAACCAAGAATACATTCGTTTTTTCATATATATCTGTTTTTGTGAACTGTAGGGGTATAGAGGTGCGAGTTGAGATTGTCAATTTGGTACTATTGATGGCAAAATAGTTGTTTACGTTCGTCCACCTTACGCTTAGATGAAACCCCTTTTTACATATCGATTCTAGGTGCCTGGAAAAGTGAAGTAAGGGCTGCACTCTTAGCAAGCAGCAGCCTCCATCGGTAGTAAGTTAGCCGGGCTTGCATAAATTTGAGATGTATTTCAATGGATGAGCTGGCAGCTGTACGTCATTTCTGCTTGGGCAATGAATTCATATGGGGCCACCGTAGATGACAAAAACAAATAATGATAATGCTGGGACTATTTTATGCACGCAGCCTGAGTCGTCTATTTAGTCCCGGCGACTGGGCGCCGAGCCTCAAAGATCCTGCGGCACAGTATACCTACAGGCACACACTACTAGCGCCATCTATGAACAACGATTGGATATACCGCAGCACTGCGGCACAGTATACCTATAGGCGGACGCTACTGGCGCCATCTATGCATAATGAACAGAAACATCAAGCACTGCGGCACAGCATAAATTCAGGCGTAATACTACTGCTGCCACCTAGGGATAGGATGCTTAACTGCTACAACACAGAAAAGCCATTCCACTTCTTTTGAGTTGTGACAGACGCAATAATGTTGGACTTGCAGTTTTTGTTACAGATATCTCCATTTGTAACTCTGCAGATGTGAGTTTTGACAAATGCTGGCAGCATTATCGTTCCCAATGACTGTTACGGTTCTGGAGTTGCGCATTTAAAGTCGCAAGTGCATTGATGGTGATATGCAGTTATTTGGTTCAGACAGTCGCACTCGAATACCAATCATCGATGATTTTCCGATGTATTTGAGGACAGAAGTGACAACCATACATGGACATGGACATTCGTAGCGTCGCATCTACGATCACCTGAAAACTACAGACATTCAACCTTGAGCGGGCGTACAAAACACCCTGCCAATGAATCATACACGCATGACCAGTGCTACTGCTTAGACGACTATGCATCCGTTCCGCACCGACCTTAATATCAACTAACCACTTCACGTTTAGCAATCTCTCACGTCAGCTCCGATCAGGCAGAGCAAACGCAACCGCTTAAATAACGTGTCAACAGCTGAGGTGCAGTTTAACATCACACAGATGTGTCACACCAGAGAAAAATAAACAATATTGTACCGGATAAGACGACTACCAGAGGAGGGCGCCGTCACAAGTGCGGCGGCTCTGAAGCGCTCTGCCCTCAGTTTTGACTACGGTTTGTCTCGGGGAGCTCAGTAGACTGACCAGAGAGTCGCTGAGTCAGAGTCATAGCTTTATGAGCGCTCGAGAACTTGAGAGACAATTGATCGGCGACAAAAAGGCGCTCAGGGGCTCAAGAGAACAGAGAAGTGCAGTTGAATCAGTGTTGAACGCGACTCGTTGGTTCGGGTGATGGTAAAACTGGTGGTAAAACTTGGGTAACGGCACACTATGGCTAAATGGATGAAAAGGGCATGATGGTGAATCAACTTACTAACAGCACATACATAAATAACAGCGCAAAAGAGCTTTACAAATACGTTGTGATAACTTACTGCTATCAGTACAATGTGTGCCTTTTAGAACCTCATTACACGCACCAAGCAAGAGCAACAAGCACCAAAAGGGTATCTATTCAAAGAACAACACTGTTTCTACTGGCATCTCACAACTTATAAAACACGTCAGAAAACGTCACACATGATGGAGCAAAACATTACCAGTCGCGCAACTATAAACACCAGCACTAACATTCTTTCACGGGACACCTTTCAACATCATGCAGCTTGCCCAGAGGTGAGACATGATAGCACATCATCGCTTACATGACACATGCGTGCTGCTCGCTTCTTTTCACGTAGACCAAGGCACGTTCATACACCAACAAGCGACACATACAACGTGCGTTCACACATACGTCGCTCAACACATTACAACTCGAGATCCAATGCTCAGCAGCTGTCCCTGTCGGTCAGGAGACAAACTGGAAGGCAGCCACATCAGGGCTTCTGGAAGGAAGCAGGCCAATGACGAAGCTTCAACATCCTCCGGACGGCGACGAATGAATAACAACCACTATGTAAAGTCGACGGCGGCACAGGCACCTGCCGAGAACCCACAATATCCAACCACGGAGTCCCTAGCTGCCAGCACGCGTCGGCCGGGTTACTTCTCTTTGGTAATCATGTGCCGCATCTTGTTGAAGGTCCGTCCAACGAGGCCTTTGCGGCCCTGGCGCGAGATTTCCGAGTCTCGACTGGTCTCCGATGCCACCGAGGTCTCTCGCTCCAGCTCTCGACACGGCGTCGACTCGCCGCCCGTCGTTATCGGCGGCGATGGTGGCGCATCACCAGTAGCCGGCGGCGTCTGCGGCGAGTCTGGCGCGCCGTCTGCGCCGTCCTCGCCGCTGCAGCAGCCGAGCTCGTCCTCGGAGCGACTGAGGAACTGCGTCTCGGCGCCGAGTCCCGCGCCGCTGTCCAGGATCGTGTCCAGGCTGCGGCTGCGGGTCATCTCACGCCGTCTGGCGCCGGAGACGACTGGCGAGGCGCGCCTCTGGTACTGCAGCAGCCGGCGGGGGGAGAGAGGCGACATCGGCGGTCGACTGGGAGTCCACCGGCCCGGACTCTGCCCCCGGGACAGGCAGGGACTCTGGGCGCGCGCGGCCGCACCCAGGGGACTGTGGCCGCGGACACCCATCACCATCCTGTGGGCAGGAGGGGCGACCGGTGAGGGCGGCGAAATGACCGGAGGGGAGCAGGGTAGAGGGGCGAGAGTAGAGTGGCAGTTAAACAGAGGGATGGACAAAGTGGTGCAGCTGTAACGAGGTGCACAACAAACAAACAGTATCAACGTGCTAAAACAAATTTTAATTAGTAAAAGTGGTGCAGCTCCAAAACATCTGGAAACGTCAACATTATGCGGAGTCATTCAAATAACACAAAATACTTTGCAACAAAAATATTATTAGCCACTGCAACTTTGCTGCTTGCATTAAGTATGTACAAGGTACCAGCATAGTAAACCCAACAGCCATAACATCGTGCAACTCCAATTAAATGGCATGCAGCTTTGCACCTGATGAACCAGCATACTACCAACAAAAATAACACAAATTGCAATACACATTATTTGAATGTAGGTTATAGACTTGGGCATTTTAGTGTGTACAACATGCGTGCCACATGCTGGGTTAAATGCAAACAACTTGTGAGGTGACAAATTACAAAATAAATGCAAATAACTCAATGGAAAAAATAACTCACTATAAATTGACCTCAACCATGCAGATTGAATCGCTTTGGTTGCAACCGTGCGATAGGTAAAAGTGCAAATGATTCGTGCCTGTATTGGGACATTTTCCAAAATCAGGTGCAGCCCATGCGTACGTACATCAATGCAAAACTGTTATGTTGATTACCTTCCCTGTCCTAGTATGGCTGCTTGAAACACAGATCGATACACGAGTAGTTTGGTTTGACATATGTACGACACGGGATTAAAGCTCAAGGACCACTCAACCCCTTGGAAGATTCCCAAAACGAAAAACATTCCTAATTTGTTCGTAATATATGTCCGATACAAACTAAGTGGTTCCTACTCCAATCATTCAGGTATCTGGGATTAAAATGGGTGAGATATGAGCTGCCTTATATTTGCTAAATTTTGTGATTTTGTCTATTCAGTCCGAGCAGGAATAGCTTTAGAGCTATAACGATGAGTTGAGCCTTAAATTGATGCGGAGCTTTTTGTAAGCTGAGAATTTAAATACGGAACGAGCATATTGAGGATTAATTACACAGTATAATTTATCCAACGTTGAACGTAATATAACAATATTACACTTTTAATGGGCATATATTTTAAATTTATATCAATACTGTGAGACGTAATCCGGGTTCAATTCCGTCATTGTTTCACAATTCATTTCAGCATTGTTAGTAGCATGTTAGCACCATACATGCACCACGGCACCATCCACCATCCCTTCAGCACCATTCCAGCCACCACCTCTCTGCAAAACTGCCGCACCACAGACGCGTACAACAGGCACCAAAGGATCACAACCACCGCCAGACAGCCACCCCTGTGAGCCGCCCGTGTGAGCGAGCCAGAGCGAGAGCGAGCGACAGGGCCAGCTGGAGAGCGTGAGAGACAGCTTACCCCGGCGCGCGCGCGACCGCCACCAGCGTCCGGCCGCATCGTCCGGCGGCGCCGTACCTGTCTCCCCGAGTCTGGGCGCGTCTCCGCGCGACTCTCACTGCTCTCTGACACTAGGCGTCTCGCGCAGAGTCTGTGCTCTGCGTGCGCGAGAACGGGTGTGGTGTGGGCCGGGCCGACGGTGTACCCGGGCCGGCGCCGTGACCAACATACCGGCCCTCTGAACGGTTCGTCTCGCCGCGCATAAACCGCTCCAGCTTGTCGACGCAGGCCTCCTGGTAGTCGTGGATCCATCTGGCGAGTGAACGGGGAACTACGGTCAGACGGGTGATTGGAGGTGGGGTAAGGTGGCTGGTGAAATTCCGTGAGGGTCGTGGTAAGAACGTAAGCATGACGGTGGTATAAAAGTAAAGAAAATGAATATAATTAATACTCGGTATGCTTTTTTTCTAGTGCAATACATTTTCTTTCTGTAGCATGTTTAACTTTTAGTGTCAGGCGTCAGCGGTAAGTAGGTACGCAGCTCACATCTGAGGGAATCTGGAGCTGAAGCATCTGTAAAAATGATCAGCCAATGAAGAGTATCGATGACACTGACGTACCGGACTCCATTGAATGTGCAGACGGCCTTGATGTCTTCTGGCAGCTCCTCCGGTTCTGGCCACTGGAAGTTGTCAATGATGGGGATGATGTTGCACTTGGACTGTAGAGCGGCGTATACCTCCTGCGGGTCGGACAGGGGCGTGGCTAGAGTAAATGAGAACGAGCATGAAGCGAAAGAGGTTAAATCTGTTCTAGCAATGGACTTCTAATATAATATCGTTCGCTTCATGCGTCAGCTTCATCAACAGTCTGTCAGAAATGCAAGGCCGTTTCAGTGCCAGCACAACACACCTAGTTCGCGCCGGTCACCAACCTTGTGCACCCAGTCCTTTTGATCGTAGTCCTGTATGCACCGATCCAGCGCCGACGGCGTCAGCACTAGGATGAAGTTCTGCGCCTGTCGGATCGAGTTGAGCAGGTTGTTGTCGAACTTTCCAGCCTCGAGCCGTTCGACGTCGATGAAGACGGAGAATCCTCGCAGCTCCAGGTGCACCTTCAGCAGCGAGGCCAGCTGCGAGCCGTTCGAGCGACGGTACGAGATGAAACAGTCGAGCGTTTTGTCCATATCCTCAGAGACTTCAGGCGGTGTCGACTCGTCTGCGGTCACAAGAGGTCACATAAGGTCAGCTGAGGTCATGTCACTGATAAGCAAGCGTTCATTTTTGTTTGTAGCTTCCGTGAATTACGATACATTATCGGATACGTACAGCATTGCTTGCAGAAATGCATGCTCCTTGTTGCAATATCATCTAGGCGATCAAGAACAGTATCAATGACGACATTGATACGGAAGCCTGGACAGACTATCACTGTTTGCTTTTCCTCGATGTAAAAATAGCCACTCGACTGCTCTCGCAAACAATCACTTCCGATTAAATACCTCGGACCCTTGGCCATTGTCCACTCCCGTAACTCCTATCATAACAACACTTAAGTCCAATCACGGCACTCGCTGACGTTATAAGGTGTGACGTCAAACTCTGATCATGACGTCACGATGAGGTCAGAGTCACCCCATTGCCCCGGTAACGGAGGTGACGGGCACTCACGTTTAATTGCCTCGTGTATCCGTAGCCGGTGGATGGAGTTGGAGATGTCACACTCGGTCTGAAGCTGTTCGTCTGTGAGGTACCTGGAATGGGAATAAAAGTCTGGTTACGGAGGCACAGAAGCAATAGAGAGGCGTACATAATCTTGATTTACAGCCTATTTCGGCACTTAAATAGCACTATTTCAGTACTAATACGGAACAAATCCAAGCAAAATGAAATATACCGCGACATAGCAAAGAAATAGGCCAATACGTAAGACTAAAAGATGGCATTCAACAACATTCAAAATGAAGCCCTTATGATAATGATAATGATAAGCTGCAAAGTAAACATAATCTTAGAATAAACATAAGGGAACAAATATTAGCTTCCACGGATTCTGTGAAACAGGTTTAAAACTGTCACACAGAAATGTTGCCGGAATTATAACCTAAGCTGGGCGCACCAAAACACGGCGCCATTCCGTTCCCAGAACCTATTCAGCTGCGAGATTTTGTGCGTAGCGGGTTGACAGACAAGATTGACAGACAGGACAAAGGCGTTTGACTCTTTACAGATCGTCTTAGACAGGGTGGTCCGCCGGCCTCAAACTACCGTGATTTAAACTAGCCCGTCACGCAGCGGTCTGACCACTTCCAAATTCAAGCGACGTGCATAAATCCCTCCACAATCGGCGAGGTGCCCTCCTTACGGGTTAACACGCAATCAGCACCGCCCGACCGCGGCGCGAATCAATTACTTGACCAGGCCGCTGGCTAACTGTTCACAGGCATGAAACCGTATGAATGCTACTGTTAATGGCATGAGCCAGCCTTCCAACCGCCAAACCGACAGCGGTGGCATGTGGCTTGTTTGCATTATAGCTAGACTGCTGACCTAAATTGAAACTACAAGGTCAATAAAAGCCACGTCCAATTCAAGAGCTACCTGGAGTGCATATGAGGCTAGTGAAGACGCCACGGATGCGTGGTAGTTTACAATAGCAAAAATTCCTCCTCCCTCTTTGTCGAATGTGTGCGACATCACCATCACCCACCTGAGGCAGTCCTTGTCGACTCCTGAGGTCAGCATGGGGTAGGTGTAGATGCTGAACTCTGGACTGATACTCTGGAGGAAGGCGTTCAAGCCCGTCGAGTCGCAGCTGGCGTAGTCGGCCATCTTCTTGAGGCTGTTGAGCTCGCGCATGAAGCGGTTGCGGAGGATGCCGTTGGTCATGCCGATGTCGTTCTTCAGCATCTCCTCCGTCATGCGCAGCAGCAGGTCTCCGTCCATCCTGGAGCGTACAAAGTCCTCGGCGAACTGGGAGAAGTTTATCTGCCGGCGAAAAAGGGACGTGAATGTGATGGATGAACAGCAAGAACTGCAGACTCCAGATTTACACGGGCATTCATTTTTATTGTGGCATCTGCTGGAAGTTTCACTGATGACACAGTCTTTCTCAACCCCTCTTACACTGCATAGGCACCAAAAGGTATACACTATACATAGATGTCAAGTATGGTAACAACGCTAAGTTGACGCATCTGGTCGCGAGTGATGGGTAAAACCGTTCAAATGTATGTATTGGAACGAAATGTTGATAAAATCAGCACAGTGTGACACCTTGAATCACTCGTCGATACTATGCCCGCCATTTTCAGAAACTTTAGCGTAAGTAGCCGCATTAGCCTCATTAGCAGTCAAATTATGGAAGGCTTAAAGCAATCGGTTTCCTTAGTCTCTTTAGCATCAGCAATCACGTTAGCTTAGGTGCGATTTGAAGCAATTTCTGGTATCACTTAATCGATTTTCGGCAGGCCTGTCCGTAAATCAAGTCCGAAGCAGGTCATTACGAATTCAGCGTCTTAAACGGTCCCAAGGCTTTTACAAAGCCAGGCATTGGTGAGCCACGGGGGCCGGCTTAGCCGTTTAACATCTAGTTAGGTCACGTAAAAGATCTTGTCACGTACGTTTAGTTGAGGCAAGATATTTTCCCATCGTACTTTTGCACGTGCTGTAGATCATTGCAATCTTAGTTACCAGAGGCAAAGGGCCGATAAACACGTAAAAATACGCCTCTCCTTCCTTGTGAAAAAACATATATGTAGGAGCACACCGTTAAACACAAGATATCACATGACATATTTACCTCAACGTTATTGCCTTATTGACATTTACCTCATCTAAGCAGTCGGTACTATTTCAAACAGCCTACGGTTACCCCACCTTTGCCCCGACGCACTCACCTGTTTTACCCACTCCTTCACGTCCTCGACGCTCCAGAGTGGCACCTGCTGGCTGAGCTTGTGCGGCACCTCCTGTCCGAGCACACGCAGCGCCTGGGCGGCGTACTTGCTGGCCACAGCGTTCGGCGAGCTCGCCACCTGTTTCAGTGGCTCAATGGCGCCGATTTCGTCAAAGATCTCCGGACAGCCCTGACGCATCTTGATTCCGGCCTCCATACAGAAGTGGAAGGCGGCCAGCTTGCGCGCCTCCTCCCGATCTGAGAGAAGCACGGGCACCAACCTCTTGAGCCATGTGCGCGACTGGCCGTGTACATGCGCCACGCTCGACTTGGAGAACTGGTCCGGATCGTGAGACGTGACGAAAGGCTCCACGAGATCGAGCGTGCCCGACTTGAGCACGGCAGCCTCGATCTCCTTGTTGGCGACCATCGAGGCGATGGCCAAGCACGCGTAGTATTTGATGTTGTCGTCGCTGTGGAAGGCGAGCGGGAACAGCCAGGTGGGCACCTTTCGCTTCATCATGGCCTGCTGGTTCTCGGGCCCGCCGTACAGAGCCAGGTTGGCCAGCGCCGACGCGCAGTGCCGCAACGTCTCCAGGTCTTTGTTCTTGCACTGTGTTATAACCGCGTCCAGACCGCCCATCCGGACCACATCACTGCACGTTCCCTCACTGTGTTTGAAGAGATGTTCCAGGATGCCAGAACCGACTCGCGATTCCTCTTCGTCAGACTTTTCTGAGCAGGTGCGACAGGCGGAGCGGACCACATTATCCAGACCGCGTTCCACCACGTACTGTCGGTTTTCTGTTGTCAAGCACTGCTCGAGCACTCGCGCGCTCTTCAGGTCCATCTCCTTGCTGCCCGTGTTGCACGAGCTGATGAGCACGTCCAGTCCTCCGTTGGCTCGCATCACATCACACAGTGAATTCCCCAGCTCGTGGCCGTAGGTGGGAACGGACCAGGCGCGCCGCAGCATCACGTCCATCTCATCAAAGATTGAGCCGAACTTCTCTGGTTCTGACGACTCAAGGCTCCGCACCATCGTAGACATGTGATGCGAGCATTTGATGACCGCCTGGTTGACGTCCAGGGGGTTGGTGCTCCGTTCTAGCTGCTCCAGCTCTTCCACGGCGAATGCCACGGCCGGACTGGACGGTGTGGCGACTCCCTGCGGCGAGACAGGCGAGATGGAGTCAGAGTGTGCGAGTGTGTGTGTGGCACATCGGGGGGGGGGGGGGGGGTAACGGGTTGGAGTGACTGCTCTGGAGGCCGAGCATGGGGTTCCCGAAGGTGACACCGGGGGAGGCCAATCATTGCAACGAACGCTCAAATGAATGGAAACTGCAGAACCACGCCCCCGCAGAGTATGTTACAGAGCGTGCATTCAGCATTAAAACCAGGGAGAGTCACGGTGAGTAACAGCGAGCACTGAGCTGCTTGGAGTACCCGTGAGTAAGTTCCGGGGAACCCTCCCACGACAGTGTTTGAGTAGTGACCCGTCACGGTGTGGCTACTCGGTTAACCCACCCCGCCCACACACCCACAGAAACAATGGCCCGATTGCCGACTACAACGGTTTGATGGGCGACCGCGAACCACAATCACAGACCACTTCCGACACTCGACTCGGCCATGTGTCATCGTACGAACTCGTTCGATTTCAGACATCACCTCTAAATAACCCTCACATTCATCCCAACTGAAAGTCTCTGCTCTTACCGTTCGGTTGTTGATTGTGAACTTGGAGTGGGTAGACTTCTTGGAGCTCTGCTCCTGGTTCACCACACCGGCCGCCTTGGTCTGCCGCTGCTGGTTCTGCTCCATCGCGATTTTCTGTGTGCTGAAGCCGTCTGCTGAGAGTTTGGCACCGGCCACGGCTGCTGAGCGCGACTCCTGGTGTGAGACGTCTTTGGCCTTCAGCTGGCGCGCCTCCTGGGAACAGAGAACAGAGGAAATGTCAACGATCACACTCCGAGATCCTTGAGAGGACAGCGGCGAGAAAAGCAATACAGTGGAAATCAGTTGGAGAGCCTCCGGGTGTTAGTGGCTGATGGAAACAGCCATCACAGAGTTTGAAGGACTCGTGGACAGTCGTAACCGCGGGCTCGTCCCGTTTATCACATACTGGCGTCGATTGCGGATTTTGGCCACCACAAGCAGCTGCACTCGCTCGCCAACTGCTGGCCGTCACAACATCATTAGCCGGGGCCAACCGCTCCTGGCACGAGCCGGACCGCCCCCAGCGCGGCCAGAAATCGATCATCGCCTGATCCGCGGCGATCGGAGCGACCTTGGGCAACCCATCGTGACCCTACTGACCTCCGTGACCCTGCTGTCCTCCGTGACCTCTCGTAACCCCCGTGACATCTCACTGCGCACAGCCACTGCATTCCAGCCGAACGGGCCAGCTGGAGCGTGCCTGGGTCGTCGACAGCTGTCGCCCCCGTACGACACAGACCAGCCGCGGCACTGCGTGCTGTCGCCACCACCATCGTAAACGGACTCGAATGGTATTTCGCCTGAAATGCTATACCCTTTCATTGCATGTAGCGAGCGCTTCAGGTCGTGTTCGTTTGCAATTGAGAACGGCGTTGTGACCCGTGCGACGAAAGCTAGTCGAGCTATTCGCTGACGGATCGATTGTGCTCGAAGTTGGTCAGCTGGTAATATGAGTTGGAAACGTCGCTTTGTGGGTTAACGAGATGATCAAAACGATACTTAGCGTGGAATGAGTTTTCAAAATGTCTATGCATTTCCACAGCATTTCACGACATTGGCGCCGTTATGTTTAGAACAACCTCTCTACGAGCACAAAAGTCAAATAAATCTACTTTCCTGCCAACTTTTGCATAACAGCCCAAGCTTCCACCCTTTGGCAAATGACTTCATCTTCTGGTGGCGGCGGGCTCAGCCTATCTCTCCCCGAACTCAAACTATCCTGAGTGCGTGTCATCACCACACAGCACCAAAATAGCTGCACGTCATGACCAGCCTCTGCGGCAGCTCCGGCCATACGGCGGCGAGCGGTGCTTGGCACATCGCCCGTACATCACTCATAACGAGGATGACCTGTGACTGAGTGGGCTCCTTGATCAGGGCACTTGGACACCCCTCCCTTCGCTCAGATATGGCCCCGCCAGAGGCAACAGGCACGCGGTGGATCATCGCAGCCCGTCGGGGTTATGTGTCAGTGAGGGGTCGGAGCGGAGCGGGGTGGTGCGTGGGTGGACACTGCTGAAACTGATCCGGTTTTAAACCGGAAACGCCTTTCAAGTGGTGACTGGTAATGACTGACGCGCCGGACCTCCGGTTCCGGTGATGAGTAGCAGCGCATGATACGAGCGGGCTGTTTTTATCTATTATCTCCGATAACTCCGATAACTCTTCTCTAAAATATACATTTCATATAGCTTACTCATGAGCATCAGACTACTATATTTATCTAACTTCACCATAGTTTTTTATCTATTTATCAATTTGCAAAAATCGACGACGGGAAAAGCTTCCAGTCGTCAAAAGTCTTCTATGTATGCTTAAGTTTATTTACTAAAGCATATGCTGCGCGATGCATATTGCAAATATATCATTGCATGTGGCATCGTCAGGCATCGGTAAAATCCTTTTTGAAAGGATTGCATTCCCAATCCACATTCCTAGTGCCGAAGTGGATTGCATTCCTACCCGCAATCCCCTTTTTTCACTTGGATTGTGATCAAATCCGCAATCCTTTTTTGCAATCCTGTTGTACCTATTCCTATTGTGCACTAGTGGATCTGGGGGAGGGAGGGGGGCATAGGGATAGGGCCGTGTCTCCATCCCCAACTCACCCATTTCTAGTACCTAGTCTTGCGAGTAATTCTTATCTAAGGCACAGGTATTTTATGGGAAATATTTTTTGCCTCAAACACCCCCACATTTAAACCTCTACCCAACCAGTGTTTTATATTTTAAAACTCGCCCTCAAATACGTAATTTTGCCCTTCCTATGTAGTTCATCAGCGTATGTTATTTTGAGCGTTTAAATTAAAAGCGTTTAAATTATTTCAAGTTTCGATGTAAAGCCCTTGATAGCAAAGTAAAATGTATAGCAGTTTTGATAGCAGTTTTGAAATGGCCTGAAGCCATTCCAAAACTGTCACGGTTTGTAACACGGCACGTCAGCGACACACAACGGACCACCCGGACCAGCCCTTCTCGGTTGCGAAACTGTGCCGCCCCCGCCCGGAGCTGCGCCGTCAGTCACACGAGAAGCTGTCTGGGGGGGGGGGGGAATCCCCGTCGCTTTTCTGCGCGCGCTTCCATTGTTGGCCAGGGGCGCACAAAGAAAGCGCTCCGTGTACGTCATTAAATGGCGGTCTTGTTTTCTTAAACCAGGGGCTTACCTATTCTCACCTCGACATGTTCCATAGTGTATGGAAATATGGGCAAATAGGTACGCACCTTTTTCACTTTTCTCTATGTCCTCCCCCCCTCTGTCTCTCTCTCTCTCTCTCTCTCTCTCTCTCTCTCTCTCTCTCTCTCTCTCTCTCTCTCTCTCTCTGGATCCGCCATTTAAAGGGACCCTCCCACCTTAAAAAAGTTTATGAATTGGCATGAAAGTGATGTCGCTCGGTTCAGAAAGAGCGAAAACGAATATCTACCAAATTTCACCGAAAAATATTCACCGGTTTTCAAGATATTAGACTTTTACTTTTGTTTACTTTTTGGGATCTCCGCTGTTCCTAGCGACTTTATTTAAAAGTGCGGCATTTGTTGCGCGCAACGCAGCATATACCACCGCGTGCTACAAAACGTTTTAGTCAAACATTTAACGGACGTTCAAAAGCCTGATGACGTCATCAGATTCCCGTAATGGAATCTGATGAAAGGAAATAGTTCACTTTCACGATTTTTTTTTTGCAACGGATTTATGATTTTTTATGTTCAAAATAATCAGCAAAGAAAATAAAACCTTTTCATAACAAAATATTATTTTCTATATTTTGATATAGGAAGAACTTTTCAGTTTCTGTAAGGCACACGCGATCCAGTATGAAAAGAGCATGGGTCCCGAAAATTCTTCAGAAACAGAGAAATTATCGCAGCCACCGGCATTTGGGCGATCTGCTCGATCTGATAAAATGTTCCCCTGAATGTCCTAATTGATCAGTACGAGAATTTCTCTAGAGTTCTCGTAGATAATTTCTCTAGTTTCTGAAGAATTTTCGGGACCCATGCTCTTTTCATACTGGATGGAAATATATGCAAGGCACACATCCTCAACGCAAGACACCTTTTTCGCGACGAGAAATAGAATATCTTTGCCTAGGGTGATCGTTGGGCTGTAAAAGCTCCTGATTTATGCTCGTCTCAGCCCAAGCTACGGAACTGCTATTCCAGTTCAAAACCCATGTTAAAAAGTGAACTATTTCCTTTAAGAGATAGGGACCACGCTGGTCCCACCCTGCAAGTAAAGGGAAGAAATTTCTTGAACACCATAAAGCTGCGGGGGTTGCGACCGGGATAAATGGTGGTTTCTGAGCCTGGCCGCAAACTTGGCTATCTCAACTCAAAACTAATGTTAAGGTGGGAGGGTCCCTTTAACGTGGCGTAGTTCTCGCCTCTCGCCCGGCCCCGTGTTGCCATGCAAGCAGCGCAGCACCAACTTTGCCTTGAGACTAGGATAATTTGTGTCTATGGCAACCGGCAGTATTCTAGTTAGTTCCGTCGATGCACATTCCACAACTTATAGCGGCTGCACATCATTCTAGGGCTATTAAGATCGGGAAAATATCAGACATGACGATAGGCGTTATCAGAAGTGTATTCGCGGCCATTGGGGCGACGTAAGAAAAGAAGAAAACAACTGGCCCCAAGAACTTTAAATTATCAGTTAGCATGCACCTTTTCCATGATATGTAGAGAATTTACCATTAATTGTTAACCCGCGCCCTGCTGGGGGGGGGGGTGTTTGAACACCCCCCCCTTGTGGTTTTTCGCGAATATCTCAAAAATGGCGGCGCGGAGCGCCGCCGTTTTTGGTACACCTTATCATACATCAATTCTACACATGTTGTGAAAATTTCAGACCAAGGTCATTCAAGGTCAGGTCACCAGGTCACTTGAAGTGACCTCACCTCATAAAAAGTTTCAATGTCTGTCATAGCTACACCGAGTGACCGATCGCTTTGAAACTTTCAGCGGTTGCTAAGAGCAATAGCATGTACAAAATGTATATCTCAGAATTTTGATATCGATGACCTAAGGTCAGGTCAATTTTGCGACCTCCCCATTATAAGTCAATGGGAGAAAATTGAAATGCGCCTCTTTTGGATCAAAGACATTATAAACACTCCCAAACACCGAATTACAAGTGGTTTAGACACACTGAACATGAAAATGGTGTCCGTGACCCTTGTTTATGCCCTGAGGTCATCTTAGGTCACGAATGGTATCTAACAGTTTTTCGCAAGTAACTTTTGATAGAGGCATGCTAGAGCGATGAAAACGCCTTAGATGTGTTCAGCTCGACGATACGGATCGACTGATATGCAACATGACCCTTTCCGGTCAGGTCATGACCTTGACCTGAGGTCAAATTTTCAAGTTGACCTTTCAAGGTCAAGTTATAGTTCATTCGATGCGTCTTGACGAGAGGAACACGATGCCGGTAAAAGTAAGCTCGTACAGGGCTTGGGTCAAAAGTTATTGCAGAAAAACTGTTTCCGAAAAAATCGGCTATTTTTGCAGTTTTTGCCCCCTGCAGGCAAAACTGTTGACGCTAGGTCAAATCTGAGAGAATTACTCAGAAAGGGCGTTAATAGGGCTATCGAATGCGCTTTTCCGCAGCGCTGTAGCTCTATTGGTTCCCGAGTTATGTGTTGGCTTCTTGGAAATTTTCGCCATTCGACCTGGAAATCGGCGAAATTTTGCCTTCAATGACCTCTGGTGAC